TTGTATTGAATGTGGAAAATTGTAATATTGATGTAATATTATTATTTGATATCATCACAGTTTGTATTTAACTGGTAAGAAATCTGATTATTAATTAAGCATATAAAGAAACGTAGAAAGTATAATATACCTTCCATTACATTTGATTCGAATGTTGTTGACGCTGTAGTATCGCTTTGGGACAAAGTAGAACTTGTATAGAAATGTTCAGTAATTGTCGAATCAGTCAGAAAATTGGAAATTACTGTCGGGCTCGTGTCATAATATATTTCGTTATCATCCACATTTTCGGTATATTGTTCCTCATAATAAGATATAGTAGAAGACTTGTTGCTATTATCCATATCCGAAGTTTTAAATTGGTAATTATCGTAATCCGAATAATCTTTATAATCATATATATCATTGAAGTCCTTATATAAGGTATCGTTGTCCAATAAAGGATTAAGAAAGAAAGTCTCTTGTCTGATAGATGGTAGCACTGAATGAAAATCCGATCGATCAAATTTTCGTCAGAAAATCGTGAAATTGTCTTTTATCATTAGGTGAAGGAACAAAATATAATTCATGAAACACATCTGTGCTATTTCCTGAATCGATATGTCTGTAGTTTATTTGTCACGAAAGCAAATTACTTTCACGATCATCTCGAAATCATCTTCCACGATTGCTTTGAATTTGATGAAGAAAGAAGAAAATTAAGAAAATTGCATCTTATTACACAGTTACTTTAAAATTTCTTAAAATTTACACTCAATTGAAATAGCACATATGTTGGTCAGAAGTATATTGATTTAAATAGATCATACTTGATATTTCCTTTTTAACACGAGAATGGGTGATATTGTTTATTAAAACAAGACACAAAGATGCTAATGTTGCGATCTGTTGAGTATGTGTCAGCTCGTCGCATGGTACTAATTTATGTATACACTTGTTTATCAGTTTGAGATCATAAAGAATGTCTTGTTTCTGTAAAGAAAGTCCATGCATCCAGAGAAAACAATGAGTCTAAGTATGTAAAGTACACGGATAATATCGCGTGTATGGAATGTTGCGTATTCATATTTTTTCATTGTACTATTCTAATTCACGTATGCTAATGGATTATATACGTACCATAGAGTTTATCTTATGGAATAATGCGAATATTAGCGAGTAAAGATTCAGCAGATTTAAGATCATTATCCTGAAACGAAAACACAGCCAAATGTACCGTTCGGTGCACAGTGAGATATAATATTTCATTGAGATTAATAAGTATTTCTTTACCGTGCTAGTTGTATTCGGAGCTGTTTCCTAGGATGATAGCTTTCAAGGAAGCCGAGGATCTCGAAGAGTATTGGGAAAAGGTATGTAATGAGAGACATCACAATCGTGATTTTGTTTTGTTGCCACCAGGTTTGAGATTCCACGGTGCTCCGTTCAACCACTTTGATCACAGCATATGCCGACAGTGCGAGTAATGACAGTACTGCCACGTTCACAAATATTCTCATTAAAATGATTCTCCAACTGCGAAACATAGTTGAGTACATTATGTACACTTCAATATAGAGTTCAAGAATGTAATATAAAAAAAACTGTAAAAAAAGAAGAGTTTTATTACGTTTTTTTTTGTTTCCATTTTTTAAATACTTGAAGATGTTTTAGTTTAAAGGTACCATTTCATACAGTTAATAAAAGTTGGTATTTTACTTTCACTTCATCAATTTTCGTATATATAGCGAAATTACGCTCAAAATTTGATATTGTTCAACTAACAGCAAATGTTGCTATATATCGAAATATATGATATGTCATGGCATGTTCATAGAATCGTATGTTTTTCAAGATTAATTTCGGGAGCGAAACAAAGAAAAAACCATGTTCGCTACGATTTTTGGAAATGAGTGTTAAAATAAAACTTTTCCCGTACTTTTTCTTTTTTAATAATTGTACGAGGGCAAGTTCTTAGAAAATCTGTCAGAGGGCACTTGCAGTGTCATATCACATTATTTTTTGACAAGTAGCATCTCTCAGCTGATTACTGTCAAATTTTGAGCGGAATTCATCGCGTAGTTTCATTTCTGTAGACAATTAAAGCGAACAACCTTTGTATTTTTTGCAAAATGGAAAAAAATGAGTTTCGTGCAGTGATCAAATATCCACATATGAAAGGTTTAACGCCGAAAGAAATCAAAACCGAGTTGAATAACGTTCATAGCACATCTGCACCAGCGTTTGCGACTGTACACAATTGGGTGAATGAATTTAAACGTGGTCGTACATCCACATGTAATGCACCTCATTCGGGACGTCCAATTGAGGCTGCAACGCCAGAAATCATCGATAAAGTCCACGATATTGTTTTGACTGATCGATGAATGAAAATGCGCAAGCTTGTTGAGGCCACAGGCATATCACATGGCACAGTAATTTCAATTTTGCACGAACAATTGGGTATGAAAAAGCAAGATGGGTGCCGCGTTTGCTCACTGTGGACTATAAGCACAGGATCACATGTGCCCGATACCAATGGCCAAATTCAACGAATTCCTTTCGAATTGCTTTCTCATCCAGCATATTCGCCAGATTTAGCCCCCTGCGACTATTTCCTGTTTCCAAACCTGAAGAAGTTCGGAGGAAAGAGATTCATCACCAGAGAGCAGCTCATCACCGAAACATAGGCTTATTTTGAAGGGTTGGATATATTATTCGGACGGCTTGAAAAAGTTGGAGAATTGTTGGATCAATGAATCGAATTGAAAGAAGATTATGTTGAGAAATAAAAATGAATCGATAAAAAAAAATGTGTTTTACTATGTTTTTCTAAAAACTTATTGACTTGCCCTCGTATATTTGCAATGGCTATTGCTTCCGAATCTCTGTAGCTACGATATATTCTTTCACATACTCGATGTAAGTAAATTAAAAATTAGTTTTAATCAAAAATAATGTTTATTCTTATAACAATTTTGTTAATCTTTTGTTTTTATTCTATTTCAAGAAAATATGGTAAAATGAGAATACTTTATAAAAGAAAAATGATCAAAGAACATAAATACAGTGAAAATATGTCAATGTTCTTTATAGGGGAGACCGATGCTTTCTGACATAACAAGCAAGTTGGCATTGGTTGGCAATACATTCCGTATTTATGAAAATAACGGAAACAATGAAAAAGTTACTGCAAAGTATCTCTTATAATGTGAATTCTTTTGCCTAAGTTTCATTTTAATCAAACGAGTTTACGATAAAAAGCAAATGTACAATAAAAAGAAGAGAAAAATTTGATTCAAAAGGAAATTTATAATTTTTTTAACATTTCATAATTTCGTAATAATGTTCTTCATTTTGAAGAAGTAAATGTAAGGAATATATTACATTAGTTCAAGAAATATTTATATTACTATATGTGACTTTTACTTATACATGTTACGTTGAGTATACAACAATAAGTATATAGTAGAGTATATAACAGTAATTTATTATAATAAAATGATTAAAATTACATGTATGAAGGGATGAGGTGCTCATATTTTAGGAAAAGTTAGCTAGACTTGCAGTGCCACGCGTGAACATTGAGTTACAATTTAATTCTGATAAAATATTTTATATTTAATATTTTTATATTAAAATATGTATATTACAACTAAAATAATTTATATTTATATTTTTCTATAAATATAACATTTTGATCATTCTAAAGTAACTTTAAAAAATATGTTTACTAAAAAGTACATATCTGCGATCTGTTTTTTATTTCTATTAGGTATACAACTTTGCTTACGCCGTTTTCCTATAGATGGCTTTAGCGGTAAGTGGTCGAAATAAATAGATCATAGACGTCATACAATAAACTTGGGCATCTGTCAACATAACCCCATAGAAACATTAGTCGATTTGTGTCTGCATCATAAAGTTATTCTCGATTGAAAATGTCAGTTTACGAGGCAAATTCTCGTCATTTGCGGGAGGTTTTAATTTTTTGCTTCAATATGAAGAAATCTGCGGCTGAGGCTCATCGAATGCTCTCAAATACTTATGGTGAGGCCGCTATTAGTGAAAGAACGTGTCGTGAGTGGTTTCAACGCTTAAAGAACGGTGATTTTGACATCCAAGGTGATGCTGTATTTGGGACCAGCTCGGCGTAGTGTATTATGAACTGTTAAAACCGACTGAAACAATCACAGGCGATCAGTATCGAACGCAATTGATGCGTTTGAGCCGAGCATTGAAAGACAAACGGTCGCAATACAACGAGAGACACGATAAAGTGATTTTGCAGCATGACAATGCTCGACCCCATGTTACGAAAGTGGTCAAGACATACGTTTAGAAACGTTGAAATGGGAAGTCCTACCCCACCCGCCGTATTCTCCAGACGTTGCTCCCTCTGACTATCACTTGTTTCGATCAATGGCACACGGCCTGGCTGACCAGGACTTCCGATCTTATGAAGAAGTAAAAAATTGGATCGATTCGTGGATAGCCTCAAAAGATGACCAGTTTTTTCGACGCGGGATTCGTACGCTACCCGAAAGATGGAAGAAAGTAGTGGCCAGCGATGGACAATACTTTGAATCATAAATGTATAATCAGTTTTTTACAATAAAGCCTCGAATTTCGGAAAAAAAACGGCGGAAGCAAAGTTGTACAACTAATATTAAGTTTTCATTAACTTAATGTGCTTATAGTTTGTTGTACAGAGAACTTATATTACGATTTACATTAATTTACTTTAATGTAAGGGTAAGATAATTTATACAATGCAGCATGTTGGTATTTTACTTACTACAAAGAAACTATACAATGTACAAATACAATCATTCCTGATATAAAAATGTAGAAAAAGAATTCTTCTATTATATTAATACATTTTAATCATAAATTAATCATTAATTGTTTAATCATTAATTATTTAAAAAGTTAATGCCGAAAGTGCGAAAAATGTGCTAAACATCGGTTTCCCCTATTTAAGGCTTCAGATTGTTTAAGTAATATCACTGTAATTTTACTGATGTAATGATTTAAAATTTCATTTTGGATTATGTCCAAAAAATGTCCATTGAAAGTAGAGATTTTTCATTTTAGGTAGACTTTTTATTGTGTATCTCAATTTTATATTTATCGTAAAAATTAGATTTAACTAAAAAAGATTGTTAAAATTGTTCGAATCTTTTACATTTTAACTTTTGTAAATAGACAATAGTTGTAAATTAACAATAATTAGAATCTGTTTATATCTATTATTTTTTATATACCGTTTAAAAAATTCACTGAACTAAAACATTTAACATGAAACATTTATTTTTGCACTTTTATTGCACACAATATCGTTTTGTATTACATTATACTTTAAATATGCTTTGTGCAGGTATTATTAGATTAAATATTTAATATAAATTTATGTTAAACATAGGTGACAAGAATAATATAAAATAAGTAAAATATATATTTCTAAAACTTATCTAATTTAATATAAATAAAAACAAAAAAGGAATTATATATTACACTAAGAATAGTGTCAGAATTATTGTGTGTTATAATAATATTTTAAGTATTAAGGAATTTTTACTTCATCTTTTTTTAATAAAAAATAATTATACATATTTAAAATAACAGCTTTTTTTAATTTTTTAATTGAACAAAAGGTAAATTTTTACGTGTTTAAAGAGAAAGAAAGCTTGTGTTATAATTTAAAGGATCTTTTAAGTATATAATTATACATTTGAAAAGAATGTAAATAAATATTATTATTGTTCCTTAATTTTATATCTGTTCGATAAACATTTTGTAACAAAGGCTTACATCTCGCTCGCAATTTCAATCAAAAACCTCTATCCGTCATCATAAGAAGTATTTCCTTCCTTAACATCATAGGAAATCGAATTTTAATGTTGGGTTCGAGTCAGATCGCAACACTAAAGTAGATAGAACAGTATGACTTTTGCTTGCATTAGGGCAAACCTTTTACCTATGCAGATTCTAGGTGCGATACCAAATGGCATATAGAATTGTTTACATCTCCGTTAAGGAATCTGTCAAATTTATCTAGATGCGGATAGTACTTTGAATCACGATGCAGACAATAATTCATACACTATTATCAGGTTTTACCGTGATCGATTCGCCATCCGGAATCGCTAGTGATAATTTGGTTTCCTTAACACATTTTCTGTCAAGAAAAGATGTCCTTGGACAGTCTGAGAATTTCATCTATCATGGTGTCTAAATATTTCATGTAATTAATAGCCTCATAAGTATGTTTGTCATTGGTCTGCCTAAGAACATCGCCGATGTCCTCCCTCAATTTTCTCTGAATATCTGAATTGACACCAATTTCGTGCATCATGAAACAGCTGTTGATATGGCATTACACTCGGCGAGAAAGAAAATAAATGCTTGGACTGTTATTTCATTAATGTTGTAATTACATTCATTATCATTGTTCCTCGTCTCCATCATCAATTGAATTACGTCCGGGCGAATAATTCCCTGTTTATCTCTGGTCTTCACTGTGATGGCAATATCTTTGAAAAAAATTCTCTACTTTTGGGCCAAATATTCTCAATTTAAAAAGTTTCGCATGTCGTGGGAAGTTTCTTTGCATTAAAAACTTGAAGACTAACCAGCCATCAAAATGAAATGATTCTTTGCCAAGTAAAACGAACTCATTATTCGGATACTTAAAAAAATTCACGTCAATACCGAAGGCACACATGGCCACTGGCGTATCGTTGATGTATTTGGAAAATAAGTCTTTCATATCATACGTTGGCAGTTTTTCCGGATTGCGTTGTCACAACAACACACTGACAAATAAGTCCAAACATCACCTTTATCTTGCTAGATATGAAGCTAGGACTAAGAAGCTTCCACATTTCGCGCCAGTCATCTCCAAGCAGGTCAAATAAATTTTTATTTGCTATCGGATCGAGAATTTTGTTGAGAATTTTGTTTAATTCCGGTGAAGCCGGAATTAAATTATCGAATTGTTTAATGGCGTGAAAATCAAATCTGGATCACGAATAATGATGACTGGCATTATAAAATCGTAGACGCTGAAGAATTTTGTGTCCGAAAAGAGATTGTACATTTTTCGTAAGAGTTCCATATATACATCAAAAAGCAAAAGGAGTTACTCTAATAATGGAATCGATCAAATGAGAAATTTTTAGTTGCTCAAAATAAGATAATATATTTAATAACTATCTTACTTAAAACAAAATATTATAAGTAGAAGCTCGCTGTTAAAACAATGAGAAGTAAAGTAGAAGGCTCGCGAATAAATTTCAAATTGATTAGCGATGAAGTGTACAAATTACAAGCTTGTACTACTGATTACGTATGTACGTCATGATTGTGTGTGTGTGCGTGCGCGCGTGCGTGCGTGTGTGCGTGCGTGTGTGCGTGCGTGTGTGTGTGTGTATGTATGTGTGTGTGTGTGTGTGTGTGTGTGTGTGTGTGTGTGTGTGTGTGTGTGTGTGTGTGTGTGTGTGTGTGTGTGTGT